GGCCCAGCGAGGCTGAGAAGCGGGAAGCTGAACGGAAGAAGGCTTCACTGAACAACACATTCAGGACCGCGCCATTTGATTACTTACTGCATCTCACACAGCCAAAGGTATGAAATACATAAACTTTCATTAATGTCATATTCGATGTCAGTTATGTCATATTTTTGACCAACTTCCGAAAAGAGGGAAGTACTCAATTCGTCTGTATGTTTTTTTTATTACTTAATCTAGTACTCTAAAATTTACATGGAAATTTCTCCGTTGGATCTGAAACTAGTCAGTAGTTACAGTGCATCCCCGAATTAAGCAGGTATTTAGATATCTATCGGTTACATTCCGAAAAGAATCTCGTACGTATTAGGAATTATGTAAGTAAGGAAGTGTTTGAGATTCGTAGAAATACGCAATTTTTCAAACGTCAAAATATGCTTAGATGTGTGAATGAAGAAGCGAGAGATGTCACGATAGAAGCAAATGTAGGTCCATGTTCTGACTACCCCTCTAGGTTACAGTCGTGAGAAATGTTATTTTTATTATTATATTATGTATTTCAGTACGAGATCCAGGACAAGCTGCAGGAGATATTCTCGTCGCTGTCGCAAGAGCCGCTGCTGGCGGGCGGCTCGCCCAGCGCTAAGCTGCGCCGCGACCACCACCACGCGCTGCCAGACCTCTTCCTCTGCTAAACTCTGCTTATTCACAGGTATACCCTGATGTATATGCTTACTCTAATGTATCCTTACTCTGATGTATACTTACTCTGATGCATCCTTACTATTATGTATACTTACTCTTATGTATCCTAACTCTGATGTATCCTTACTCTGATGTATACTTACTCTGATGTATTCTTACTCTGACGTATCCTTACTCTTATGTATTCTTACTCTGATGTATTCTTACTCTGATGTATACTTACTCTAATGTATACTTACTCTAATGTATACTTACTCTGATGTAGCCTTACTCTGATGTATAATTACTCTAATGTATACTTACTCTGATGTATCCTTACTCTGATGTATACTTACTCTGATGCATACTTACTCTGTTGTATAATAACTGAGGGGTATGGTACTGTGAAATATGCGCCGATATTTCGAGGTTGAATTGAATGTATTATGTTACTTTGAATGTTTAAGTTATTAATTTCAGATTCCGTTACTGTACAAATTAATAAGAGGTCAGTTTGAAATAAATTATAACTTAACTATACTTCTGTTTCAGATGTCAGAGGGCGCTGCAATTTAGCTTTAACACACTAACAGCTATTGTATAATCTTATAATGTTTAACTATTTCATGTATTAACCAAGCTTCCATGACCTAAACTGTTTCGAGTCTCATATAAGCTTCCACTGTCGACACTTGTATACAAACGTCCTGTTTTAGGACAAGTGTCATGTCAGTGGTATCACGGTGAGTCCGTTGACTCAATATATCGATTATTATAGCAATAACTGTTTAAAATATCGTTAAAAATGTATGTTGAATTACGTAGTATGGAATGTGTTAGTATTAATGTGGGTATCCAGTTGACACTTGTATACAATTTAATCTCGTGGCTGTTATTGTTTTTGAATTAACAGAATAACGATATATGTCGAATTTAATAGAATAGAGAAATTATAATCTATCTAAAAATACTTTTATAAGGCTGTCTAGACTTATTTAAAACAAAACTTCTTAGTCATCAATTTAAACATTAAAAAGGTTCAAAATAAATCCATTATACTTCATACACATATTAAAAATGTAAATGTTTAGATGGATTTTTGTTAGAGTTTGTAGCCTAAACTGGTGAACGAATTTCGATGAAATTTGACGTAGATGTAGAGCATAGTCTGGAAGAACACATAAGCTACTTTTGTTTTTTTTTCCTCGCGAACGGAGTCGCGGGGATAAGCTAGTAGACAATAAATTACATTGTCAATATTATAAATGTATGTAATTTCTCATTTCCATTAAATTCGACAACGTTTAAGTCAAATTCAATTATAAAATGTATGAAAAAGGGCTACTTGAAGTTTATTTTATGGAGTTTCCAATTACTTGTTAGTGTCAAATTAAATTAATTTACTTTTAATGTTAACATGATTGAATAAAAATTGACTTGTTATATAGAATCGAATCGCAGTGACAATTGTATACAATGTGGCTACAATGTTGTATAGTGTCACTATTGTATGCAAATGTCAATGTTGTATACGACATTGACACAATATTGTATACAAGTGTCAAAGTATGGTATAAAATGTATACAAGTGTCACTGTTGTATACAAATGTCAATATTGTATAAAACTGTCACTATTGTATACAATGTTGGCACAAAATTGTATACAAGTGTCAAAGTATGGTATAAAATGTTGTATGCAAGTGTCACTGTTGTATACAAATGTCAATATTGTATAAAAGTGTCACTATTGTATACAATGTTGGCACAGTATTGTATACAAGTGTCGCTGTATATGGTTAATGTTTACTTACGAATACAAAGTTTTTCGACTATATACTGCCTTTAGTGTAGCCTAAATAGAAATCTTTTTGACAATCTATTTGACATGAAATGTGTGAAAGTTTTCAGTATTATTGATTTTTTTATATACTTTTTTATCAGTACAGTTGTACTTTTTACGCCTTGATATTTTCTTGTACATTCCAGTGATATTTTTAGATTATTATGGGTTATAAGAACATAAAATGTGTTTATAATTTCATTATTATTTCGTTTTTATAAGATTTTTTCTATATTAAATGATTTAACTCTCATAGACATATTCTAGACTTCTGAGCAATATTATTTTAGTATAAATTAGCCATAAAATAATATATTCTACTGTTATAATATTTTACACTGTGTAATTCAATGATAAACAAAGTTGACTTTTCTATGGCTCCTATGTAGACTATCGTAAGTCACAATCTATCGATTTATGAAACTTTATATTTTTTTTTAAATTTGCATTTTCCATATAAATTTAAAAGTAAGATGTAAACATGATTTAGTCTATTTTTTTTAAAACTAAACATACAAAATTGTTGCTTGTTCATTAAAACTACAATTAAATATACTTAGTTTAGAAAATGAAAAATTTGTCCTGGCCTAAATTAATATTTGCTTTATCTCTTAATTGGTCGTATGTTAAAAGTTTAGTTTTGAAAAAAACGCGTTTCGAACATACGATAGTTTACGTAGGATGCATCAATTTTGAATTACATTGTGAAAAATGATATATTCAACGCCATCTAGCGGCGGATTAAAGGAACGTTTTATTGATCAGTATTTATAATCAATAATGTACTAGTTTTTCGTAGTTTTGTCGATTATTGGTTTTATTGCATGGATATAGTAAGGTTGTGTTTAATAAATGCGGTTCAAAGTACATTATGTGTTTCATTTTATCCCCAAAAACTATATTTTTTGGTCTATTCTAAGGCTATTTTATTCTTGGTCGGAAGTCTTAGTTGTGAAATCTTTATTTGCAAATGAAATTGAAATTTATCCCATTGAAATAAGGTATAATTTTGCTTTAAAAGTATTTATACGCTTGCTCTTATAAGGCGTGTAGAGTAAAATCAAAGAGTAAAAATATATAGAGTAGACAAAGATGACACTTCACTTGTGACATTTTTCACATTATCTAAGATGTAACTTATAATGTTTGTCTTATAATATATGTTTTGTAAAATATTTTAAAAAGTCAACAAAACACGAAGTGGCACTAAACTTGAAAACTGATATAGTGACCATTTAGAGAAAGTACCGGTGAAAATATTTTGTCCACTGCCTCGTCAGTATTAAATGGCTGAATAAAGTTAATCTTTGGTTCAATTTAATTTTATTTTCGATTAAAATTTTAATGGTGGTAATTGTGTGAGCGAATTTTAAGGATATTTTAAAATAACAGACAATTGTAATAAAAACATTTATTTCAAAATAATCTTATCTACTTACATATGATTAGGATTTTTTTAAATTTCTATGTACATTACTGGCTTTAGGTAACTTTTAATTTTTTCTTTAAATATACATTTAGCACCTAAACTCTTAGTCAATGCACACGAATAAATGTAATAAAAATTTTCAGTTCATTTTCAATATTCTTAGAGTAAAACTCAATGCTTGTAAATACTTAATTTGATCAATTTACTGTTGTGTATCAATAAATTTAGACAAATTTAAGTAAAACATACTATTTTGGATACAATTATCTACTATATCAATAGTCAAAAGTTTTCAAGACAAAATCATTGTTAGTTTCACCAATCTTCAGATCAGTGAAAATCCATCTTAATTATTCATGTGCAAAAGACTTATTGTTACAATTATGTTACAAATTATAATATTGTTACATTTATGTTACAAATTATAATATTGTTACGTTTATGTTACAATCTTTTTAAAAATACATCTACATGGCGTTTGTATAACTATGTACAGATCTGTATAGTAACATTGTGTTTAACAGTCTTTGATCACAACTGATTTTGGACATATAAAAGTATTTACAAAAACTATATATTATACAAAATTGAATATAGCAAGAAATACTCATGAAAAATTTAATTTTATAAACAGGGCAATTTAATGCTTAAAAATAATACATTTGAATACAATGATTATCATAAATATTTTTCAACTAAAAAATAATCAGAATTAAATTTCATTGTGATGATGCATTTAAATTATTTCTTTGGTTATTTGGTAATAAATATTTACATAAAACATTTTGTGCCGCATTTATTTAAGTTAAAAAAGAAACTTTTGTGCTTTGCTCGTTCCTTTATATAAACTTAACAAAAATATAATTTAAAAAATTAGTATAATTACAAATCAACAACCAACTTAAGTAACACTAAAATTAAACATTCGTATACAATTAAGAAGTTAAGAAAAAAATAAATAATGCAGAGAATAGACATAACAGAAATTGGAAGTATTTTTAGGAGACTTATGTGACGTTTTGTTAAGACATTTTAAAATAACATAAATTTATGTAAATATTAGAGTAATAGATATATTTTACCGAATAACGAAAAGTGACATGTATAATTCGATTACTTAGATTCTTATTTATATAACAATTGAAAATTGTGACTAAATAAATCATAAGAATTGATTTCACTAAACACTTATAAAATAAAAACAATTTGACGAATTCGTTTCGATCATTTATTATAGACCTCCAACTTGATGGAACGATAACAAGTTATTTACACCGACGGTCAAAGGTACCGAAATCACTAGAACCAATGGTCAAAGTAACTACGACCGATAGTCAAAGTAACCAAACTAACTACGACCGATAGTCAAAGTAACCAAAGTAACTATGACCGATAGTCAAAGTAACTACGACCAATAGTCAAAGTAACTACGACCGATAGTCAAAGTAACTACGACCAATAGTCAAAGTAACTACGACCGATAGACAAAGTAACTACGACCGATAGTCAAAGTAACTACGATCAATAGTCAAAGTAACTACGACCGATAGACAAAGTAACTACGACCGATAGTCAAAGTAACTACGACCATTAGTCAAAGTAACTACGACCAATAGTCAAAGTAACTACGACCGATAGTCAAAGTAACTACGACCGAGACAAAGTAACT